ACACTCCAATGTACTTCTTCCTCGTCAATCTCTCCTTCCTGGAGATCTGTTACACCACCACCTCTGCTCCAAAGGCCTTAGCTATCTTCCTGGGGAAAAGCAAGACCATCTCCTTAACGGGCTGCCTCCTACAGATATACTTCGGATTCTCCTTTGGCTGCACAGAATATTGCCTTCTATCCGTCATGGCCTACGATCGCTATCTGGCCATATGTTACCCATTACGTTACAGCACCATTATGAACAGCTCCTTGTCAATTCAGCTGGCAGTTGGTTCTTGGGTGTCTGGTTTCCTGGTTATGGCTCTTCTGCTCTCTCTAATATCCCAGTTGTCTTTCTGTGGCCCTAATATCATCGATCACTTCCACTGTGAGAAGAATTCCTTGATTGTCCTCTCTTGCACAGACATATCCATCATCCAGATATTGGATTTGGCCCTCTCAGTCATTGTCATCCTGGGCTCGTGTGTGATAACCCTCCTTTCCTATGTCTACATCATCTCCACTGTCCTGAAGATCCCCTCAAGGAAAGGCCAGCAAAAGGCATTGTCCACTTGTTCATCCCATCTGGCCGTCGTCCTCCTCTGGTACGTATCCACCATTTTACTCTTTGTCAAGCCTTCTGCGCGGCACTCTTTGGAGCTGACCAAGACAGTCAACATCATCAACACCATTGTGACACCGCTTCTGAACCCTTTCATCTATGCTCTGAGAAACAAAGAGATGAAAGAAGCCATGCAGAACATACTGCGTGGGAGGTGAAACGTTTCAAAATCAACAGGGTTGATTCATGGTTCAAATATTTGGTACCTCAGAGTGTGTATATTCCTCCATGAATCACCATGACACGTGCTTTCCATTGGGACAGTAATCACTAAGCCCAGGAAAAAACATCTGAGAACTTTGGACAAAGCTCTCCCAGTGGAGACCTCCTGCCTTTGAACTAAAGAAGGAGCCACCCACAGGACTGGCATTTAATTGCTAGTCTCGATGGCATCGCAGGCTCACAAGATGGGTTAAAGGACCTGCCCTCCAGTCCCTGTGCTTTGTCCTCATTTCCAATTAACGACAGGAAGGTTTTGTAGCGCTCCGATGTACGAAAAAATCGTTCATATTGGTTTATGATTTCCAATATGGCAATGAACGTCCTTCAAGGAGAAGTTTCTTGCTCGTGAGCAATTGATGTCTGTTATTGTGTATTTGCCTTACAGCCCAGTGATCACATCAGAATACAGATTACGTTTTGTATTGTATCTTCTTAGTCCCAATCCTCTCTCCTGATTCCAGCAACCCCAACCCCTGCCCTGACTCCAGCAACCCCCACCCTCTACCCTGACTTCTGCACCCCACCCTGTTGGAACTGAAAGTTTTATTCTTTTTATATTTGTATTTTAGGTTTAGAAATGTAGCAATGTAGTTGAATGCTGTAGCAATACTATAGTAATGCAAGGTAATAGATAATCATCTAATCTATAAAGGAGAACGTTCGTAAGTTTTTTCACTAATATCTTGGACACTATAAGAGCTACCGCAACCAAACTTTGCATGGGGTAACTTTTCATCCAGGAGAAGGTTTTAAGGTACTTTTGGACCAGATCGGGCCTAAGCTCAAGCTGTAAAAATAAAAAACAACCCGCCGTGCTGCAGGGGCCTCCCCGCCCACCCTTGGTCCTGTGCTGCACTGTCTGGCACTCGCCCCCTCCTGCCCATGAGGTTACATAAGCAACTCTTCACCCCCCCATGCCAGCACGCAGTGCCCCCACCCCTATGTGCACAATGGCTCAGGCACCCGCCCTGCCACTGTCTCTGCCTCGATAGAGGACAGGGCCATGGCCTCAGGGTAGCGGGTGGCAAAATCCACCAGCACCAGGATGTATTTCTTTCCCGTCCAGGTCGCTCTGCTGAAGGGTCCCACAATATCCATCGCCACCTTCTGGAAAGGCTCCTCTATGATGCCGCTGGAGCCCCCACTCCTCCACCTTCCTGGGGGAGCCATTCCTGGTACAGGAGTCCCCCCTCCCACAGGAATCTGTCCTGGCAGCCTCCCCCCAGGGACTGAGCTGCGCCCAGGTCAGCCCAGTCCCTCAGGGTCCGCAGGGAGGGATCCGCCCGCACCTCAGCCTGGAATTCAGCAGCTGGGGCAGGGATGGGGACCTGTTCCCCCCCATTGCCTGGGTCCAGAGTCCCAGCTCGGCCGGGCTCCGTGTCTGCTGGGATGTGGCCCTGAGCCCCCAGCCAGGAGCCCTCCCCTGGGTCAGGGTCGCCAGCCCCTCACAGGCTGTAGCTACAGGTGGTGACCAGGGCCCTGGGATCCATCTGTCCACTCCTCTAGGTCACCTCCCATCAGCACGTCCGTGGGCAAATGCCGGTGCCCCCCACTTCCCTGGGGCCCTCCTTGGCCTCCATTTCAGATGCACCCGGGCTACAGGCACCTTAAACGGGGACCCGTCTATGCCCTTCAGGGTCAGCCGAGTGCTGGGTACCATGTGGTCTGGGGCTGCTACTTGGGGCCAGGCCAGTGTCACCTCCGCCCCCGTGTCCTAGAAACCCGCCACCTTCCTACCATCCACCTCCAGGAGCATGAGGCTCTCGCTCTGCAGGGGCCGCCCTGCCCCCACCTGGTACATGGAGACACCTGCCTCTGGGGCATCAGGTCTCTGGGAGGGGTTGGCCTGAGCCACCTTTCCCCCACTCTGAGCTGAGGTGTGCCTGCCGGCCCCTGCCTCTGGGGGGCCTGCCCTTCCCCAGCCCCAGCCAGTTACCCCTGGAAGTCTCAGGTAGTGGGACCTGCCCTGGTGCCTGGGGCACTGAGCCCTCTTGTGGCCCCTTTGCCCGCAGCGATGGCAGGTTAGGACCCGCGGGCCCCTTCGGGTCAGTTCTGTCCGGGCCCTGCCTGTCTCTCTGGGGCGTGGATGGCCCCTGTCTCTTGGGTTCGCCCTGTAGGTGATTTCCTCCATTGCTCAGCGGAGAACCTGTCCCTGCGCGATTCCCGTTCTCTCCGGGACTCCCGTTCACACCCGGACTGACTCTCCGTGAACTCGTCCACCAGCCTCCCGCCCTCCTGGGGGTCTTCTGGCCTCAGGCTGGGCAGGCACACTCCATAGCACTGCTCCAGCATCATCAGGATCCAGGCCTCTGGACTGGTCATTCTCTTCCAGCTGGGTAATCAGCTGGGCCTTGGTTGCTCTCTCCACGGGCAGGCCTCTCTTTCTGTACAGCCTCACAAGGTCTGCCTTCAGGAGTCGGGCGTAGGCCATCTCATAAGAACATAAGAACGGCCGTACTGGGTCAGACCAAAGGTCCATCCACCTCAGTAGCCTGTCTGCCGACAGTGGCCAGTACAAGGTGCCCCGGAAGGGGTGGACCGAAGACAATAATCAAGCGATTTGTCTCATGCCATCCCTCTCCAGCCTCTGACAAACAGAGGCCAGGGACACCATTTCTATCCACTGGCCTTTTATGGACCTAACCTCCATGAAATTATTTAGTTTCTCTTTAAACTCTGTTATAGTCCTAGCCTTCACAGCCTCCTGTGCCAAGGAGTTCCATAGATTAACTATGCGCTGTGTGAAGAACTTTCTTTTATTAGTTTTAATCCTGCTACCCATTATTTTCATTTGGTGTCCTCTAGTTCTTCTGTTATGGGAACTATTAAATAGCTTTTCTGTATTCACCCTCTCCTCACCACTCATGATTTTATAGACCGCTATCATATCCCCCTCAGTCTCCTCTTTTCTAAACTGAATGGGGATATGATACGGGTATATAAAATCATGAGTGGTGTCAGAGGCTGGAGATGGATGGAACGAGACAAATCACTTGATCATTGTCTTTGTCCACCCCCTCTGGGGTGGATCCCCGGTGTGTAGACTCACCGGCTGAGTGCTGCAGCGCCCCATAACTCCCAGGAATTGCTTCGCTCTGCGTCCAGCACACCTGGCTCTTGCACGCCCCTTCCTTCTACAGCGCCCTGTCACTCGCTGCTGGAATCTCCATCCATGGGGTGCAGTGCATCCCACCCCTGACAACACTGTGATGGCCTTTCAGGGTTCCCCCCGATCCTGCACCCCCATAGCAGCCAGAACAGACTCCGCCAGCCAGTAGACTAGAGGGGGTTTATTGCTTCTCCAGAGTACAGCGCAGCATAGACATGGTGTGGCTACAGGAGTCAGGGCCAGGATGCCTCAGACCCCTTGGGATGGCGGGCCCAGGCCCCTAAACTCCCAGGCCCCTGCTTAGTCTGTCCCCTTCATGGTTTCTCCCCAGCCAAAACTGACCCCTCCCCTGAACACTCCCCGCCTTTGTTCAGTTCCTGCCCTCAACAGGTAGGACCGGTTGGGTCTGTGTGACCTCAGGTGGCACCCCCTGTTGGGCCGTGCTTACAGACAGAGGCCAGTAGGGATCACCCACAACCCACACACAGCAACCAGTGAGTGCCTGCCCACTACATCACAAGGGCAAGTATAGGAAGGAAGGCCTGTGAGTTTACCAACCCCACGCTGGCTGGTGGGAATTCGGGCATCTTCTCTGAGCTCTGGCCCTTGAGGTAGTTGGTTAATGGTCCCTCAGGCAATTCCCCCTCGTTCTGAGAAAGTCTGTGACTGTCTCTGAAGAGCGGGTCCCAAGGGGGCCTCCGAGCTACTGGAATAAGCCCTTCTGTTTCGCCTGACTAGAAAACCAAAGAGGAGGATATAAAAGAAAGAGGGAGGAGTGGAGAAAAGTGCCGAAGAGGAGAGAGAAAGAAGACAGAGGCATATAAGACAGAGATTGTTCCTTTTCAATTTGCAGTGAATGCTGCCAATTAATGAAGGCTGTTTGATGGGAAACCATTAGCACGGGTTGCAGGCGTGAATGCCGTGAACATGTTCCAGAAGCGCATGTTAGAGAAGCAGCCTGTCGGTTTTTTACCAATAACAACAGTGTGTCGTTTTTTCTCTCTGTGCTTAGGAGATGGCATTTGTTTTGCCGCTGATGTGACAGCAATGATGTTTCCTGTTCAGGATGCACCCACAGACCTTCCCCCTTCACGGTGAGTATGTCAACTCCGAGCACCTGGGAGTTCACATGAAACGTGATGGTGGCGTTTTTATTCTGAATATTCAAATAATTACTAGTTTCGATTCCTTGTACAGAGCACATTTTGCAGTCTGCTTTGCTTTCATTGTTTATGGTGGTATTTTTGAGGCTTGGATTTTGAACGGATTTTAGAGGGGTGAGATGCACAAATCCCACTGAAATTCAATGGGTTTGGGTTCCTAATTCCCTTATGTTGCTTTGAACAATCAATCCTGTGTAATCCTGTGCTTCTACATTACTTTCACTCTCCAGGATAAAACAGTGTTAGTCAATTTCACTTGTATTTCATAGTCAGTTTCTGGGCACTTTCCCTTCTCGCTGTGTTGCAGATCTAAGCAGGGACACGTTTGGTTCCTAATTCCCTTTGGCTCATTTGCACACACAATCCTATGCTTCTGTGATGGGCTCCCTCTCCACTACAAACACCTGTCAGACAATTTCACTTGTGTTTCATAGTTAGGTTTTGGTTCCTTCTTCCAGTCTTGCCAACTATACAGGGACACTTGGCACCTGCCAACATAAAATTATCTTCCCCTGGATTGACTCTGAGTCATATCTGGCAACGTTAGAGGGGTAAATGAGTGATGAGTGTTCACAGAAGGAGAGAAAGAAACATGCTGACAGCACATCTCAGCTCTATGCCAGCGAGTGTACCACCGACATATGGCTTTACTACATTTGCTTCAGCTCCTCTTGGGAAAATATCTGGTGGACAGAGCAGCTTGGAGACAGACTTATTGAACTGAAGAAAACTATGTCATTTTATAGTCGGGAACCCTTTAAAAGTTCTTTTGAAAGAGACCAGGGAGGGTTACATTTTTACCAGTAAATGAGGATAGAAGTTGATTTCACTGCACAACCAAGGTACGTCTAGACTACAGGCTTTTGTCCACAGAGGCTTTGTCGACAGATACTGTTGACGAAGCTTCTGTCGAAAAAGAGCTTCTAGACTACAGCCAGTTGTGTCAACAAAGCAAGCTGCTTTGTCGACACGAGAGTATAGATGCAAAGGACAATGTAGCTGCAATAACGCCTTCTGCCGACAGAACTCTGTCGGCAAAAGGCGTTATTCCTCGTAGAATGAGCTTTACAGCCATCGACAAAACTGCCGAGTTCTGTTGACATTATGTCAACAGAACTCAGCGGTAGTGTAGATGCAGGTAGAGTTTTGTTCACAAAAGTCCACTTTTGTCGACAAAACCCTGTAGTCTAGACACACCCCCAGAGAACGACATGAAACTATTTCCGTTCATAGTCCAAACCGACAGGTAGCCAGTGTAAAGGAAATTCTGCTTGAGCACGCTTTGGAGTTTAGTTAAAGGGGGTTTGCTTTGTGCTTTTGGATGCTGATGCTGTTTCAATGGTTAAAAGCCTTAAACATTTTGAATCTTAACATCTACTGTGATTAAACTATTACTTTTGGAAACACCCCAATTGTCTGACCCTGAGCGCAACTGTGAATATTTAATTGATACAAATAGAAGTAAATCTTCAAAAGCCAGAGCAGAGTATAAATACAGTAGCAGAGTTCAAAAAAGAGATCGGTGGTTGGTCCCAGGATGGGCAGGGATGGTGTCTCTAGTCTCTGTTTGCCAGAAGCTGGGAATGGGTGACAGGGGAGGGATCACTAGATGATTCCCTGTTCTGTTCCCTCCCTCTGTGACACCCGGCATTGGCCACTGTGGGCTGACAGGACACTTGAGTAGATGGATCTTTGACCGTTCTTGCGTTCTTATTGTGCAGAACGATGGACGTTTAAATCCATCAACATAGAAAAGCAAGGCTTAAACTAAATCTTGAAATTAACCAGAACAAATATGGGAAACCAGGAATTATTGATAAGCACGTGAAAGACCTAAAGCCGGGTTTGTCAGCAGGGGGTGAGAAGCACAGCAAGACAAAGTCTTAGAAATGGTTTTCCATCAGGTCTGTAAGAACCATGTGTCGAGTAGCTGGCCCAATACCAGCTGCTGAAGCATTTGCCGAAATATCCGTGACTAACCCTTTACAGAGCATTTCTCAATGGACCTGTCATACAGAGGATGCCCAGACTGGGAGGTGAATGGAGTCCGGAGGGCTGGGTGACTACATGGCAACCAGCGGTTCCGCGGAGGGAGGAGAAGAAGAGCCTGTTCAGGGGAGGGAGGAGTGGAGTACTTGGTGTCAGCAGTAGTAACAACAGACTGTCCTTCAGTCGCTCCAGCCAGGGACCAGAGGCTGGTTAGAGACCAGGCCCCTGGAGATCTCTGGAGGGAGACAGAAACCGACACGGGAGAATGGCTTTAGGTTGCCGGGAGGGCTGCGTCCGCCGGAGGCAGGGGAGCTGCACAGGTGGGCAGGGGTCTGAGATGAGAGGGGGTTAAAGTCCCTCCTGTTCCCCTCCTGGACGCCTGTGGGCTGCTTTTCCAGCTGTCAGGCTGCACAAGTGACTGAGGAGGCTGCACAGTGGACGTGTGTCTGAGCCCCTGAATGGGCTGAAAGGTTTGGCCAGGCTGCACATCCCCAGGGCATTGACAGACACCCGGTGACACTTCATTGCTGCAGATCAAAATACGGGCGGTGGTCGTCCGAATGGGACAGCCACGTTGGCGCCAGACACACGATCGTGGGACCCAAGACGTTCCCTGCTCCTCATGTGCTCCCGGCTCTGGGGCTCAGAGTAGGGGGATGGGAGCTGGGGTGATTGCATCCCATGTCAGTGCTGGGCAGGTTGGTGCAGTGCAGCACTGCACACAGGGGCTAGGTTCCATGCTCCTTGGTGGAAGAGGTCGTTATGGAAAGTATTTATCCAGTGCTCACCACAAACCAGTGGGAATGGGACACCAGGTCCATTAGACTTATTTAAAAATTGGAGTCCAGGACTGCCTGGTTCCATCCCTAGTTCTGAAAGGGCCGTGGGGTCGAGTGTCTAGATGCAGAAATTGGACGGCAGCATTCCTGGTCCTAGACTCAGCTTTGCTGCAGGTGACCCAGTGGGAAACCTAGGCCAAGCCCAACACATCCTAGCAGGGCCGTAGTAACTATTGATCAATGTCTGGCTAAGCCCTCTGTGTATTTCACAGCAGCTAAAACTGCCTGAATGGCACAGCAGAATCACAGTGCGGTGACGGAATTCATCCTCCTGGGATTCCCGGGGAGTCCGTATTTGCAGATCTTCCTCTTTGTGCTCTTCCTCTTGATGTACATTGTGACGTTCCTGGGAAACATGGCCATTATTATCTTAGTGGTGACGTACTGCCGCCTCCACACGCCAATGTACTTTTTCCTCGTCAATCTCTCCTTCCTGGAGATCTGGTACACCACCTCCTCTGTTCCAAAAGCCCTGGATATCTTCCTGGGAAAAAGCAAAACCATTTCCTTCACTGGCTGTCTCCTACAGATATACTTCACGTTCTCCTTGGCCACCACGGAATATTTCCTCCTGTCTGTCATGGCCTACGATCGCTATCTGGCCATATGTTACCCATTGCGTTATAGCACCATTATGAACAGGTCCTTGTCAGTTCAACTGGCAATTGGTTCTTGGGTGTCTGGTTTCCTGGTTATTGCTCTTCTGGTCTCTCTAATATCCCAGTTGTCCTTCTGTGGCCCTAATGTCATCGATCACTTCTACTGTGAGATGGATTCCTTGATTGTCCTCTCTTGCACAGACATATCCACCATCGAAATGTTGGGTTTGACCATCTCGGTCATTGTCATCCTGGGCTCATGGGTGATAACCCTCCTTTCCTATGTCTACATCATCTCCACTGTCCTGAGAATCCCCTCAACAAAAGGCCGGCAAAAGGCGTTCTCCACTTGCTCGTCCCATCTGGCCATCGTTCTCCTCTTGTATGTATCCACCGTTTTACTCTTTGTCAAGCCTTCAGTTGGAACTGACCAAGACAGTCAACATCATCAACACCATTGTCACGCCGCTTCTGAACCCTTTCATCTATGCTCTGAGAAACAAAGAGATGAAAGAAGCCATGCAGAACATACTGCGTGGGAGGTGAAACATGGCCAAATCAACAGGGTTGCATTCATGGATCAAATATTTGGTACCTCAAAGTGTGTATATTCCTGCATGAATCACCGTGACACCAGCTTTCCAATTGGACAGGAATCACTAAGCGCATGAGAAAACGCCTGAGATCTTCGGACAATCATCTCCCCGTTGATTGGATCTGGCTATGAAGCAAGTCTCCGTTGGGTAGATTAGAAGAAGGGAGTCTATACTGGAAGGCAAAGACTCTGAGAATGACTTACAGGTCAGTGTGGTTAACCACCTGAGGAGCATGTTGCTGTGGCAACCAAAGGCCCCATAGGATACCTGTAGGCCAGGGGTAGAGGGTATCCAGGAGCTAAAAGAAGATTTAATATTTCTGTGCACCACCATGGTGACCACTATCAGACTGTGATTTCAAAATTTCGAATGAGCCCAAGGTAGACAGAAGAACGACGTCTGCTGATTGTCAGTCAGAGCTGGCTGCCTCGTTTCCCAAGCCATTTTAGAAATCTCTATAAAAACTCACAGAGTGCACACTGGGGAACGAGGTGGCCATGGGATCTGGGCCTGAACGAGATTCAGTGTACAGAGTGTGGGAAAATGAAGGCCAGCTGACTTTGAACTGAAGAAGGATGGTGACGTACCATCGCCTCCACACGCCAATGTACTTCTTCCTCGTCAATCTCTCCTTCCTGGAGATCTGGTACACCACCGCCTCTGCTCCAAAAGCCCTGGATATCTTCCTGGGGAAAAGCAAAACCATCTCCTTCACTGGCTGTCTCCTACAGATGTACTTCACGTTCTCCTTGGCCACCACAGAATATTTCCTCCTGTCCGTCATGGCCTACGATTGCCCACAGGACTGGTGTGTAATCGCTAATCTCGGTGACGTTGCGGACTCACATGGTGAGTGCACACAAAGGTTTAAAGGATCTGCCCTCTAGTCCTTGTGCTTTCTCCTCATT